CCACCCCCCCCCCCCTTCCCCCCCCCCCCCGCTCATTACAGAACTCAGCTTTTGCTGTCTTTATAATTGGTCTATTTGGTTCAGGAATACAGTGGTTGTGGATTTCAGGGGAATCAAAGAAATGCCTATAGTGCAGTTGCTGCAGAAACCTCTTGAAATCCGTCTAACTTCACTGCCAATAGGAGTCTGGTTGTAACAGCATGGAATTTAAGAGGCAGTCACTACTGGGGACTCTCCCAACTTTGAGAAATTTGTAGCCAGTGCTGAGTTTGGTGCTGCTGTGGCTAAACTGCCAGCAGTTTCTGTGTAGGTTAGTTTTGAGCAATGCAACTACTAATTCCCTTTTCAAGTAGCCTGCAATAATTTCACCCCCCACCCACCTTGCTATTCAATATAAATTGGGTTTACTTAAATTACACACTTTTTCAGATCAGAAACTTTGTAAAGCATTTAATTCTGACTTTTATCAATTCGGGAGGAAATGGGAAAGGTTTTTTTGTTTTTTTTTTGTGAAGTAGATAAGGCAAATGGTTCTTAAAACATTTGTTGCAACATTGTTATGAACAAATGTAAACTTTATAAGGAAAAAATAACTAAAGTTGTTTCTCCTGTTAGAGAGGTTTAGTGCCGATTTCATTCTGTCTGTTAACTGAGCTTGGAATAGGATGATTTTAAGAAAGAGATTTTATTTCATGTGAAGACCTAAATAATTCTCTGTGTGCCTGGATACATATAGAAAGAATGCTAGCATGTGAAACTGGGGGAAAATAGAGGCCACTGGAGATTACCATAAGGTAGAATTTATACTGTAGTCTTTAAAATAAAGACAAACATCATTGGAGTTTTGCTAGGAGATAGTACTTACTTAACACACTTTTTCTCAATGCACTTGCTTCTTTATTGAACACTGCAAAATATGCAACATTACAAAGTGCAGTAATCTTAAATGGAAGAAGCAGCACAGCAGACACCAAAGCATGGGGCTTGTTAATGTAAAGACATTTGGCTCCTATTTCCGTGAAGTTTATCTGCTGGGATAAAACTCATCACATTACAGAATGAATCCACTGAATGACTTGGTTAGTGGGTTAACTAACAGGAAAACTCTTCTTACACAGTTGCTTCCAAAAGGAAATGAACTAATAGTTGCTCTCCTATTTAGTAGATGTTTGTTATTCCTTGGGTGGTTATACATGGATAATAGCTTTTTTTTTTTTTTTTATGTGAGCTTTATTTTTCTCTTTCAAGTTCATTTGAAAGTATGTGGTAATTGGATATAATTACTGCTTTTAGGAATCTCTTTCAAGAACTAATTAAAAAATGAGTGCGTTTGGAGTTTCTTGATCTGCCTAGTAGTAAAGGCAGATACTAGACTTTTCTCATTGTTGCAGCAAGTACTAAAATTTCTGCACAACTCCTAGGTTTGATTGTGTAAGCAGGGAATGCTGTTGGGTAGCTGTTACACTTAAACTATTTCTCAAATTACTTTCTGTTTTATAAGGTTTTTCCTTGCCTCATCTTCCGTTCTGTCTTTGCTTTTGCAAGGAAAGTTTACATTTGAGTTTTTAATGGAAAAATATTTACAGAAACATAAAGGCAGCTTTGCAAAATGTATATTTTGCCATTAAAGAAATGAAGGTATTTGCTGCATTTTTTGAGTAAAATTTCTTTGCTGAGTCAGAAGCTTTGTGTAATGTTTTGGCTTGTTTGCCAGTGAGTTTGGGAGAAGTCTACTCTCTTCCCTTAATAGCTCTGAAGAGCAGTGCTGCTGTGTAGACGGTAGTACAGAGTTTTACACTTCCACATTCCAGAGGTTTCAGAGGAGGTGTAGCAATTTCATGGATTAGCAAATGCATGAAAATCTTCAATTTTCTGCTATGTCAAAGAAGAAGGTTCTCAGGCTTCTGGATTTGTTTGTGTGTCTAAAAGAAGGTAGGAGAAGCTTAGCGTTAGAGAGAACTTATTGTCCATGTTGGAACAGGAGCATGAACCTTCTTTGACCCTGTTTCATATGGAAGATTAGGAAAGAGGTTTTGTACTTCTCATGACTACTGTAGAAAGCGTAGAAGTTCATTGAGCTTGTTAAAATGGGTAGGCAGTCAACTATGTTGTATTTAAACTTGCTCATAATGTAGCTGTTTGGTTGTTACAATTTTTCAGTTATTTTACTGTAAATTGGTTTAAGGGGTCCCTAAGTGTAGTATGTGATGCTGTCATCACTGAATGAAATGCTTATATTGCTTTTCTTTCTGAAGTTCAGTGTGGGGAAAAAAATTTCAGATCTTAAGGCAAAACTCTGAAAAAACAGAACAGTAACGGGAGCTTGAATTTTATGGGGGTCTGTTGAACTCTTGTTTATAGAGGTACCTTACTTTTGAAGTTAGTTACACATATAGTTACCCAGATGAGGTTGCTAGATCATGACCTTGTTTGTTCTTAAAATCTAAGTGTGTCAGGTCATTGTATGGAAAGTGAAAAAGGAACCAGTCTCAGACCTTGTCAAATAACTGAGTTATCTGTGTATACTACCTTGATGTACAAAGGCAGCAAGTCAAAGAATTAAGTAGGATTATCCCCTTTCTGATCCTTCAAATGTTAGGATATAGGGTATGATTTTAGGATATATTAGTTTTTGGGTTTCATGCTTTTTGAAAGTCTTGTGGAAACCATACAAGAATGACTCATCTACCCTAGAGTCTTTTATGTTAACAAAAATGTTTTAGCCGATATCTCATGTTAAATGTTGTTCTAAATACCTTTGTAAAAGGCTGTTCTGATCTCAGAATTTCACTCAAATTCCTGTCTAATACTGGTTTTGCATTATATAATTTTTATTTTTATTTCAATGGTATCTGGTCCATTTTTCTTAAGCTATATTTTCTACTACCCGTGGTTGATGTTCTGTTTATTTATTATGCTACTCATTCTGTGCCTCACTGAAGGGAGGCTGTGATACAGTTGCAATAAGACTGTTACAGTTTAAATGCAGACAGTTCTTTTTTTGGGAAAAAAAATGTTTAATCTTTTCTCATCTAAGATCTTGTTAATAGGATTTTTGCAGAGGTAGCAGTGTGTTGTTGATGTTTGTTACCTCAGCAAAGTTCTCTCTCATTTGAAAACAGACACTTGACTGCCCCAGTGCTGGAAAATACTTTCATTAAGAATCTGTTCTTAAATTGTTAATTTTTATACATAAATATATATGTATATGATATGATGGAATCTTTTTAAATGGCATTTCATAGTTTTGCCTGATGTTTCTCCCTGAAATGCTGGTGAGAGATTGTAGTGCATCTAGTATTAAGAGTGAGTTTCCATATAGCACTTATCCATGTTTATTGGCCACATGCGCGTTTTTAATTTAAAAGGTTTTAAATAATGAGAAAGATTTTTTGATTCTTTTTATCTCAATTTTATTTCCTTCCATTTTACTGAGAATTTTTAAATAAATATTACAAATTGCTATACTATCCCAGTAAAACAAATAAATTGACAGAAATACTATGAAAAGATTTTCAGGTGCTAGACAGGTTGTTTTCATTTTAGCTTGTTTTTGAGGTTGAAATGGATTTGATATACTAATTTAAGCTTTGTTTACAGAAAGTTCTTGCTTGATTAGTTTCTAAGATGTTTATGGGGCTGTCCAAGTCGTACTGAAATTAAAGCAGAATTCTGTTAAACACCATATTTAATGAAAGGTAACTGAGCATCATATGAATATTGAAGCATGCTGTGAGACTTCTGAAAATTCGTTACAGCAAATGTACAAATAAATTTTAAGTCTGCAGTTTTTCTGTATGTAATTTTGTAGACACATGCATGTATACCATATGGTATCTTGTACCCTTACGTACTAATTTGATGTTTCTGAATGCCACCAATACAGGTAATGTTAAATGAATATGAAAATGATTGCGACCTAAAAGGACTTAAGCACAAACTCGAAAGCAAGGAAAATCTTGAAGCCTAATGCTATTAACCTTTGGCTGTTTAACTGTTGGGCTAGTTGAATAGCAGTATAGAATTTAAGTAAATTAGTGTTTGTACTGTTTTAGTGTTGGTGAAGTGTTACACAGATACCAAGTGTCTAATAGGTGAGCTCCTTTTGCAAACATACATAATTAGACCTTTTCTATAAGCTTAGCTGCAAAATCCAGTAGTTCTCACTCTAGAATCTCCTGTGTGTAACACAGAATTTGTTTGTATGTTTCTTATCATGTTAAGTATTTTCTCTTTGATAGACATGCTATATTTGTGATGAACAAGGCAGAGAAAGTAAAGCAGCCACTGGTGCTTGTATGACATGCAATAAACATGGATGTCGACAAGCTTTTCACGTCACGTGGTAAGTGTATATTATTACTTAACATCTCTGATGTTCCAGAAAGAGTTAATGCACACAATGTAATCAATAAACTCTTTATTTAGTATATTTTTGAGTAAAGAAATATACTAAAGTGGTTTGTGTAGAAATATCTAACATATTATAATAGAGTTTACTAATGATATGGCAGTGGCAGTACAGACATTGCTTGAGCTGTGAAAGCTGTCTGAGAATACTCCCTTGGGTTGTATTAAATGCTGTGCGTTCCTGTGAATAAGGTTTAGTGGGGTTTTTCTGCTTAGGTTATTTTTCTTAGATGATATTTTATAGGATATGGGAATGTGAAGACATTGTTTACCTGCTAACTGATTTAATGTTTATTTTTGGTAAATCAGTGGGAAAAATTACTGAGCTATATGTACAAATGCACTAGTCTCTCACCCCTTCCGGTACCAATTTCCAAACACTTGTGGGTAATTCACCTCACTGGTTTTATCTAAATAGTACACGTCTATTCTGAACTATTAATTTAGGTTTCATATATAGCTGCTGGAGAAAACCAGCTGTGTCCACCATCTGATTTATTCCACTTTAAGATCTGTAGGTTTGCTTGTATTCAGGAGATGCTTGTCTCACTTTATGGACTTCTGAAAGAGGCTGGATAATTAGATTAAACCATGTCAACAGGTGTAAAAGGAGGCAAAAGGAGTTCTACCCCAGAATTTACAGGCATTATTTGGTGGTTTTTTTTTTTCAGATTCAGTTGAAGCTGTTTTTCCAATAGATAGATAGCAGATTTACACAGTCTGGGGTTACATAATCTGTGGATTTACCTGTCTGTTTTATGAGTGCCCCAGTATGCTTCTTCATGGCCAGCTCAGTCAGGAAAATGGTATTTGCACACCTACTTAACTTACTTAAATGTATTTTCTTCAGTGTAATCAAGCGATAACTTTGCATGTCTTGTGCAGATCTTAAAGGATATAATTCTGTAGTTTAGGTGCTCATTTCTTGGCAGCTCTTTTTTTTTTTTTTTTTTTTTTTTTTTTTTTTTTTTTTTAAAATTACTTGACTACCTGGCAGCTCTTACTCTTTCACAAGCATCTATTTTTTTTAATTGTATGTGATTAATGTCAAGTTTCTTTTTATGGTGAAAATGGATTGTGTTCTTCAAACCATGTATAACATGTTAAGAGGTTACTTACAGATGTGAAAAAATGTATACATCTAAGTGTTTGGATAAAAAGATATATTTTCTTTGAAACACTTGGGTGCACACAAGAGTTGTTTTAATCTTTCTTATTTCTTCCAAAACCCTGTTTTTGGTGAATGCCATAAAGAACATAAGAATTAGGTTCAAATTTAAAATATTTATCTTGCCAATTTTTAGAATTGTTTGATTCTAAAAGAACCAGGTAGGTACTATAAAATGATATATAGCCAGAGTACTGTGACTGAGGATATCAAGAGGCTTCTGGAATATTTTAAAAATGGAAGAAAAATGTGAAAACTACAGAAGGCAGAGATCCATGGTGATGTGTATCAATTTTGGGCTAACAAAACTGATGTCTAAGGAAGAACGAGCTTAAGTCCACATGTTTTTGTATGCCAAGCTTTGAACAATATATCTTTTGCTTAAAAGGATTCTCTTAAATGTTTTCTGTAGTTGGCGTCTGTTGTAGGTGTGCATGTATTTAGGGAGCAGTATTTCTGGATTGCTCAAGAACATAATGTATAAATGAAGGGAAAGTGATTTTAAAAAGCAGTGAAAATAAGATGCCATAATATAGTGTTCTTTCATTTAAATACTCCCGTGCATCATTTTGACTGTAAGATTGCATTATTATGCTAATGAAAATGATATGGAAAATGAAACCGAATATTTGGCTTTTCAGTGTCTAAGTTGGTTTTGATAAAGAAAATTAATCAACATTATGAATGGTGAAAAGCAAATTTTATTTGAAAAAATGTAGTAGAATAAGGTAATAATTAGCCCAGGCAAGGAAACTTGTATGTCTTGTTCTTTTTAAAAGAAATTAACATGCCAGAGTCTTTTAAACCAATAAATATGGTTTGATTTATTAGGTCATTGAAGTTCTATTTAAAAAAAAAAAAAAGTGATTTTCCTGGCAAAGCAGAGAAGAATGTGTGCAACTTCAGAAAAATTTCTTTTTTGGATCTACGAGATCCAAAGATCTGTTTTGTTAAAAGCTGTTCTTTCCATAGATGATTTTTGGCTTGAATTTGAGCTAAGAATCATTGTAAATTGATTAGTTTATTTATTTGTGGGTGTAGCTGCATAATAAATGTAGGTTTTCAAGCTATAAGCTTGTCTCAGTGGCTTAAAGACTATGAAAAAGTAATCAGGCTAAAGTATAAACCATATATGTTTTTCACCGGCATACAAAGGTTGGTTGTGTGTTTGCATGCAATTAGAAATCAATTGTGTGGAAATCTCTTCTAAATGCAGGTTTAAGTACCAGTACACTATCAGCTGAGATATTGTGGTACAAGCTGATGTAAAATTGCTTTCCTTGAATGTTGTTTGGTTTATTTTTAGTGCACAGTTTGCAGGACTTCTTTGTGAAGAAGAAGGCAACGGTGCAGATAACGTCCAATACTGTGGCTACTGTAAATACCATTTTAGTAAACTGGTATGTATTTGTTAAATTCATAATGTCACTGACTTATTTTGTCTCTCTGAACTGCTGTTCACGCTAGAAATACTATTTTCCCATAGCTCAGAAAGTAGATTGCATTTCATTAAAACAAATGTTTTAATCACAGTTACGGAAGTACTAGCTGAAAATATTTTTATGAGTGCTTACTTTCTAGATGTGTGGGTTTTTCCCTTCTGCCAGAAATAGCATGCACGCTTAAGGTTTTTTTCATTAAGTTCCTGTAGTGTTTTCTTTCACTATTAATTAGTTGACTTATAGGTATTTAGTCCATTCTCAAATAATCTACAAGATATTATTTGTTACTCTCTATATTAGAGGATAAAGAAGTCCTCTGTTTCTTTTTGCTTGTTACTCTGTTGTGGTGGGTGTTTTTTTTGTTGTTGTTGGTTTTTTGTTTTCTTTTTTTGAGTGTTTTCCCTTTTGCTCTATCTCTCACCATGTAGCTGGTGGGTATTCTCTGCTTAAAAGTTCTTTGAAACAACCTTAAGGAAGTGACTTGAGGTTTGATTTTTAAAAAACAAACAAGCAAACAAAAAACTTCAGAATTTCTGTTATTTCAGTAGGTATTGGATCAGACCTCTGGAGTCTTTCCTATCTTTCCTTCTTATTTAGTTTGACAGGTCCAGATGCCTGTTTCTGTGTACATGTGTGAGTGTGTGGACTTGAAGTACTTACTGACGTTTAAAAAACGTCATTTATGAATACCGAATTACAAAAATTAACATATATAGACTTAAGTTCAGATACTGCTGTAAGTATAGTTAAACTTGCTGATTACTTCTTTTGGCAGCTAAAAAAGGTGAATACTTGGGTGACTTTTGAATAGGTTGCAATGACGAAAAAACGCAGGGCCAGTGAACCCTTTCTAAAAGATAAGCTTGGTGAGGTTAGCTCCATGCTCTTGTGAAATATTGATGAGTTTGCTTCATAGTGAAGATAAGTCAGGGCTTTCTAGGCCCTTGCTAAGCTAAGACTATTTTTTAATTATTATTATCTTGAGCTAAGTATACAAAAAGGAACAGAAATCGTCTATAACTTAGCAGTGAAGGCAAGCATTACACTTTCAGGTACTTGATTTAAGTGCTGTAGTGCTGCTATGATCGAAAATATGTATGTTTATTTACAAAGGAAGTTTAATGATAAAGATATAACTATATTTGTCGTGTAATTGGTTAGCTTTCCATTAGGAAACTATAGTGGTAAGAACAGCAAAGACTGGCAAGATCGTTTAAGTGTTTTAGTGTTTCTTTAGGGTTATTGTGATTGATGCCTAGTAAATACAGGTGTTTAACATTTACCACTGAAAATGGTGGGTGGTATATATCTACTATACCACTGAAAACTTTGGTTGGCAAAGCAGTGACCAGAAGTGTCTTTATAATGCTACGTGAACACTGGCCTAGCATAAAGTATTTGCAGTCCTGGACTAGGCTCTCAAACATTACAGAAATACAGCCAGTTATGTCTGCTGCCTGTAAGTTCATCCATGACCATAGCATTCTGTATCCTGTTTCTTAAATAATTGTAATGAAAATATTGCAGATAGGTCACTTCAATAAATCATTAAGCCACAGAACAGCCACCTCACAATGCATTTCAAGCATGTGGCGGTGCTAGCACTGTGGCTTCATGTAATACTCATTGAGCAGCATCTTTTCTGTTTTATGCTATGGAAATTTGAAAATGTGTCCAGCATCTTTTAACCTTTAAAGTGTGTCATATCTCATTCCTTTGTGGAAAGCGTATCTCACAAATTCATAGGAGGTGTAAAAGTTGGTATAAGGATAGACTTTTTTCCTAGTATACAATGGGTAGTCTTGTTAATTTTATTAGTGTTAGTAATTTGTCAGTTTTTCAGTAACTGAAGTTTTTTTTTCTTCAAGCAGTAAGGCATCTTTATCAGTTGAAATGCTTTATACTTTTTATTTATTCAAATGATTCCTTTTCTCTATCCATAAATATATTTTCTCTTTTTAGAAAAAGAGCAAACGGGGATCTAATAGGTCATATGATCAAAGTTTAAGTGATTCTTCCTCTCACTCTCAGGATAAACATCATGAGAAGGAGAAAAAAGTAAGTGGATTTGTCGTTGCTAAATTATGTGGCACATCTGCTTAATAGTAGCACTTTCTGATAAATCTAATTTTTGCTGAAAAGCATGAAGGAAATCTTGTTCCTGAAGCAATGAATAATAAATAACACAGGTGATAAACTAGAGGTACTAGGGTCCAATGAGGAAACATTTTCAGGTGCATTTGTACATGTACCTTCCTGTGCCTGTTTATACCCAGTTTGGGGATACACACTGAAACATACCCATTGGGAAGGCTGTTTCCATGCAGCTTCCTTTGCTTTGGTTTCCCACTGGATATTTTTTGTGTAGCCTTTGTGACTAGGCGGGAAAGAAAACCAGGGGTTAGGTACTTTAGCAAGTGTGCTGAATAAACAGGTGCATCTATTTTTTTATGTTTTACATGATATCTTTTTCTTACCATCAAAGAACTGACATTGCTTGTTGACACATTTTACTAGCACTGGTGGTCAGGCCCACTGTGATGGCAAAATACCTTGTCATTCACCTGGGAATCTTCCTGTGAGGGTACAGAAAACATAACTGACTTCTAATTTGTATCATTGGTATATTCTTTTAACAATTTAACATCAGATTTTTAAAAAGAATTTTAGATTTGTAATGATTATTACTTCATGTTTCTATTTCTGCTAGATGAGTAGTTGTCTATGGGAACTTTGTCATCTGAATTCAACACAGGGTGATAACAGACAGTGGCAGAATAATGCAAATTTGCTTTGGTTCTTCTTTAGCCCTTAAGAATACATGCTAAATGGCTTTCCTGCATGCATCCTGTATAACTAACTGAATAGACTTTCCTGCAGTTGTGTGTAGGCTTAGTTTTGCATTATTCAAAATCATTATATAAAAATCAAAGAATGTATTGACCAAATGTGTATTATATAAAGGAGCTGTATTTATAGTGACAGGAAATTGAATAACAAATGTCAGTCTCCAGACCCTTAGTCTCCTTAATATTTGATTTGATTTTTAAGAACACTTCTACTTTGGATGGATGTTGATTTTCATTATTCTTGAATAATCTTCTAACAAGTGTCTTTAGATGTTGTTAATGATGTAGGTGAATAGTTCCATCTTCATCTGGCAATGCAGAAGAGAGTGTACATTGCTATGTGGTTGTACCTCTAAATCTAAATTTATGACTAAAATAATAAAAGTATGGGATTTTGGCAGATCTTTTTTTCTTAGTAACACATTCGTAGACACCCACCCACCCCTTTGGATTACGGACTACAGAATTACCTGCAAGGTAAAACTCTACCAGTATTTGCCACCTTTTTTTATTAGTTTGCTTAGTTTTTCACCACTCGTATTTTGGGTCATGTTTTGTCAAAATACATGCATGGATTTTTTTACTCACATTGACAAAACTTTGAAGTGGAATTTGAAGAAACTTTTGAGGTGTGAGCGTAAGTTTTGTAGGCCTGAGGAGTGCAAAAAACCTGTTGCTGTTTTTTTTTTGTTGTTGTTGGGTTCTTTTGATGGTTTTGAAAGTGACTTTGACTTTAGATACTCTGCTTCTTTAGGTCATAATACCTGTAAAATCTTCAGGGACTTTCTGAGAGTGTGTTCAGCCAGTGTATGAGCTATTTCTTCTGCTAGCTGCTCAGCTTCTCCTGCTGTGGAAATGTCTTGATGTGGATCTTCTAGAAGTAGTTAAAGTTGTGGCTTGCCTTTACAAGTCCTAGCCTTTTTCTGTGGCTTAAAGTTTGCTAGAAATAGGATATTAAAGTTTTGTCTAACTTTCATGAACTGAAACATGGTACTCCAGAAGATCTCATAATCTGTAATGCCAAGTGAAGCAATGCAGTTTGAAGCACTAAATTGTTATTTGACATTCAGTGGTTCTCACGGCACATTATAGCATGTTCATTTACCAAGTTTAATTTGGTTTGTATGTTATATAATAACAAAACAGTGTTCTAGTTAAAACCACCAAGTGGTGAAAAAAAAATTACAGTTCCCTAAAGCTGTTAGCCACAAAAAGTTAAGTGATTGCATATTTTATGTTCGCCATTTTTAATCTTGCATGTTCTACGTTGAAGAACGACCTGTGCCTTGCAAAATAGTATGTGATATGGAGGCTTATTCTCTTGGTAAATTTGATTACCTTCTGCATGTGATGTCTTACTTGATAAAGTATATCAAATACACAGTGTACATTGGAAGAGTAGGGTCGTTTTTTTAGGGTAACTTTCCTTATTTTCTCTTTCTGTAAATTTGTTTGGAAACTAGATTGTTGTCATATTACAGTAAATATGTGTACGTTTCTTTCCAGCTATGGTGGTGTCCTTTCTCCCTGTAAGGGCACTCTAGTTTATCTTTCATCTTTGTTCTTTGGAAATTTGGATATTCTGATCTTTAGGCGTCTTTAAAGCTTTCCCTTTTGCCAAACAGAAGCTGTCTGAATTGAGGATTATATTTTTTTATAGCTCAGACTTCAAAAATTGTCCATTTGCATATAAAATATTATTCTGTAGTAAGAAGAAGAGGTTGGTCTGAAAATGTTGATACGGGTAGCTGTCATTTTTGCAAACAGACACTGAGTTGAAAGCATGTGTTTTCCTTCATAACATGTATTTAGTCTCTTTGGGGTGCTGTACTTAGAAAATTGATAGCAAATATATAAGGGTATAGTAATTAAAAGAACAAACCCAAACCAAACCTTTGATATGATTTAATTTTAATGAGGAATTTGAAGCTACAGAATAAATAGCTCAGTTATATTCTGATTACTGCTGCACTATTAGTTTCTATGGCAGAGATGTTATTTAGAAATGGTTATAGATGAAGCTGTGTGCTTCAAGTGTAGTTGATAGTATGTTGCTTGACATCCTGTTGTAATACCCTTTTTTTCAGGGCCCAGCTATTTACCTCAAGCTTTTTTGGCGAAAACTTATGCCGCCATAAGGCTGTGGAAGAATACCTTCCTAATGTTCCTAGCAGCCTTATTGTTGGAAGGGGCTAAAGAGGGAACTAAATGTGTTTATGTTTAGAAGTGTTTCTCATCACTTATATGAAAATTAGGCCAGCTTACAAGCATTATATGTTTATGACTTATGAAAAACGTGAATTTACGACATACTAAGCAACTACTATATAGCAGCTGAATTACACAAACCCCTTTTCTACCAGAAGTGCTTTTGTATGGGCTGACTGGGGGAAGGGGAAATCTAAAACTCTTTGCTACCATGGCTTATATGATGCAAATTAAACAAAAATGGGCTTGCAACTGAAGACTGCAAATGTGTAAAAATTGTGACTGAGGAGGCAAAAAGAACAAAATAATGACAATGAGCCCCAGGGTACTATTACAGAAGTTGGAGGGTGTCAGAGGAGAGTCTAAAATGCAGAGTCACTTCAAGTGTTCTAAACACTGAGCCACTGGTAAAGGAAATTCATTATGGGCATCCTCTTGCTGCTTGTCCTATTTTTAAAGAAACATTACCAGGACATCTCTGACTTTCAGGGGAGAAACTTGAACATCTAAGAAGAGTTTGAGGCAATGTGTGACACTGTGTTTTGCTGTAGCCATGAGTTTGGTTTTTATGCCCATGGGAAGAGAAAACTTAAACCACAACTCCACTCATTGAAAGTTTCCATAGGCTAGCTGTGTGTTGGTTTGTGAACTGCATTCTGAACTGCCCAAACTTTCCCGATATGTTGTGAAGGAGCCTACACTTATATGTCAGGGCTATTTATTTCACTGGGAGAAAGGCACTTGATGCTTTTTAATGTATTTTAATGCTCTGTGTGGGCCTAAACACTCAGATCAAATGTTCATTATGTATTCCTCACTATCTGAATAACTGACTATGAAAAGATAAAATTGACCTGCCATGCATCACTTAAGATTCTGAGGCAAAAATAGGAAGAGACTGCAGTTCTTTAGGTTAGCATTCAGTCGCATAAGCAATGGTTTCCTTTTTTCTCTTTTAAAAAAACAATATTCTGATTTAGTCCTGAAGAGTCAATTTATAGTATTTTATAAAGCAGGGTGTTGCAATTCTAATTATGTTATTCCTGTGTTAATTGCCTCATTTTATAAACTTAATGATGTTATTTGAACATTAGGGTTTTTCTGTAACTTTTTAGGGGAAAAAGGTCCACGGTCATGTCAGTAATGCAGTATCCTACTGCGTTTTTACTAATTTTTAAAGTTTTTGTTAATCAGTTTAATAGATTTGACTTTTTTAATCCTCTCAGCTGTTCGTGATGTATGAAGCAAAATTATAAGAATGCTGAAGATAACTAGAAGAAAATTATTTTGCAACCACTCTGAAATTACTTCAATTTTAATTATTGAAGTAAAGCTAGATAAATATTATTAAAATGACAATTGTGTGGTATGGATGATAATGGTGGTACTTATCCATGTTGACTTCTTCTAAATTCTGTTCGGTGAGAGGAGAAGGTGGCCTCTAAATCACCTTTAAAAAGTGGTCAATAAGTATATAAAATACGTAGCTCAGTGTACAGACAGTCTTTAGTATTTGTCTATGAGTTACAGAACCTGATTCCTGTTTCCTAAGAGTTTTTGTGTGAGTTTCTTGGCCTTCAGAAAGGGGTGACTTTATGCTGCAGCCTTTTACTGTTGGTGCCAACAGATAGTATTTCTGTCTCTGGGCATCTCTTCTTTACTGACTTTGTAGGATTACAGTATTTTCTTTTTAAACATGTATCTTTGTGTCAAATCGTGTTGAAAGTCTAGTTATTTGGGAAGACTGATAGAGTGGGACTGTGTAAACAAAAGTTCATTAGAAAGGCACTCTTATCTGAATATATTCAATAATATATATCTCTAAAGTCTGCATGATTAAGAGCAAAGGTGGCATCTTGTTTGATTTATTGCCTGCTAAAGTTCTGTGTTAACTTGCGTTGTATTCTGTGTCAGCCTGATAATCAACTGTGTGGTCTACTGGAGCTGGCACCAGTTGGCATAGATGGCACAGCAAAATGATCTCTTGTTGAGGTCAGGAAG